ACGGGGGTGTGGGGGGCGCGGTGCGGGGGGACAGGGCAACCACGTGCGGCCCCTCTGCCCCCCCCGCCCGGAGGCTGCAGGGAAGTGGTGCCGGCCGCTGCTGAGAGCGGCGTGGGGCCTGCGGCGCCACAGAGGGCAATCCCATGGGCCGGATCCAAAGCCCTGAAGGGCCGGATCCGGCCTGCGGGCCGTAGTTTGCCCACCCCTGATCTAGCAGCTGATGGAGATTTCCCTTTAGCTCAAGCAGAAGGAGTCACGTTCTAGCCCTGCTTTAGCTGTGGTATTTTGGCTGGCCATGATGTGCAGCCTAAAAACAATGATAGAATTTCCAGGTAGCCGAGGATTTATTCAGTATCCTCCATGATTTGTGAAACTAAGAAAATGAACGTTACGAAAGGAAAGGTGGCACAGGCTTTTGCTGTGTGAGCATTCAGATTACCACAAAGGTTCAGACAGCTTTATATTCTCTTTGCTGAAAAATCTCAGTGGAGTCTTGATACTATATTAATTCCCATGCAGAATAAAATGAACACAGCAAGGAGGAATGCAGCCATTAACGGAGCGGAAAGTAGTGAAATTAAATATTGGAGAGTGAAAGAGAATACAGATCCATCAATATTTCTGAAAAGAAAGACATTAAAATAGACTATAAGTGATCATTTTTTTTAGCAGCCTCCAGTATTTTGTACCCACTTTTTTCATGCACATCTAATTGATCCCATCAATGACTACATTAGAGCTGCCTGTTTTGCACGTACAGTTGTCTGCATTCATAAAAAACGTGTGTCCCTAAACAGCTACATATGCAAAACATGGGCATGCCAAATAGGAGTGAGAATTTGAAAAGGAGTCCATAAAGGGCCTAATTTTCAAGAAATTAGGACTGCACTTGTGAGCACAAATGACATGTTTAATTTGCATGCATTTACCATGTCTACACATGCAAGATGGAAACCTGCACGTGCAACTGACCAATTAGATGCATAGTTGGTCACAGTAATTGTAAGCACAAATGAGGCCAGTGGTGGGCAAACTGTGGCCCATGGGTCACACACAGTCCATCAGGATAATCCACTTGCGGGCTGCGAGATGGTTCGTTTACATTGACCGTCCGCAGGCACGGCCGCCCGCAGCTCCCAGTGGCCGCGGTTTGCCGTTCCCGGCCACTGGGAGCTGTGGGAAGTGTCGGCCAGCACGTCCCTGTGGCCTGTGCCGCTTCCCGCAGCTCCCATTGGCCAGGAACAGCGAACCGCGGCCACTGGGAGCTGCGGGCGGCCGTGTCTGTGGTTGGTCAAGGTAAACACACCGTCTTGCGGCCCACCAGCCGATTACCCTGACGAGCCGCAGGTTGCCCACCACTGGATTAGACACTAAACTGCATACCCAAGCTCTTTGAATGCTAGTCTCCAAATGTCTCACTTGCTCTATAAGCAGCAGGGATCATACTGTCTTGGGGGAAAATGCTTTAAAATGATCATTTGCATTTGCAACCACTTCCCAAAAGCAATACATAACCCACCACCTGAAGCCCAGTTATCCAGGTGTGCCTGCCCCGCTTGGCGGGTGTAACACACCCAAGGTGTGTGCAGAGCCAGCCTAAGCACACACCTTGCTGGGTGTTGTGGCTCACATAGCTAACATATTTTTTTGGAATTAATAACCACAAAGCAGAATTAGGAACAGATGTGTTATAAGGTAGTTAAACCTCAATAACAGTGTTTTAATAATGAGCCCGGGTAACATGAATTACCTCATTAAAGCCTCTATTAAATGAGATCAGCAGAAGTTACAGCCGTGTGGCCACGGGCAGAACTGGAGCCTTCATTTTAAAGCGCTAGCAAAACTTCCTGAGCTGCCTCTGTGGCAAAGCAGCAGGGGTGGTAGCCAGAGACACCTGAGAAGAGCTGGGTGAATTTTGGCAGCTGAAACTTTTCTTTCAGCAAAAGATGCAGATTCAGTGACAAAGAACTGGTTCGAGAATTTGTGACTATTTCGCTGAATTTTCCATTCTGAAAAACCTGCCTCCCAGCCCCGCCTAAGAAATATCTGAAAAAAAAAAATCAAAATGTTTCATTTTGACATTTTCAAAACAAAACGTTTCAACTGACAACCTTCAGACACGTTTTTTGACAAGTTTCAAAACAACTTTTTTTTAAAAAAAATTCCTTTCATTTGATTTAAACCGTAAAACATGTTCACTGCTCAACATCAAAATGATTTTTTTTAACTTTTTCGATTTACTGAAAATTTTCCTTTTCAGTTTGAAATTCCAAACAATTTCCCCTGATTTTTTAGACTTTCCACAGACTGAAAAATCCATTATTTGCCAAACTCTATCCTGAACACTATGCCCAGCCCTCTTCTGAGTCAGAGGATAGTCTTAGAAAGTCTCTGCATATATTCCCCGCATTGGGATAGTGTGACTAACCCCTACCTGCTTCCTCAGCACTGGAATAATGAATTCCTGGTTGTAAAATGCTTTGAAGAGCTAAAGGGCTAAGTGCTGTTAATTATTATTATTTCATTTATAAAATGATTAACTGCAGTGCAGGCAAGGCCTGGAATATCCTGCTGAGGAAGCGTTTGCTGTTGGGGGCAGAGTGGGGAAAGACCAGGTGAATTCCAGTTCCTTCCCATTCCTCAGGTCCTGGCAGACAGGTCTTTGCAGCGTCACGCCTCCCACTGCATGAGGTCATAAGTGCGACAAGACAGCTTGTTTGCTACACGTCACTGCTTGTTCAAACAGTGGGAGTTGCATGGGACTCCTGCATCAAGAATGGCGCCAAGGGAAATAATGGTTTGTC